CGTCTCGGTTTTCTCCGCGATCAAGCGCCAACGGTCGTGCTGGGCGTCCTGCCGTTCATGCGCTCGAGGCGCTTGATCTCGGAGAATTCCTGGACGTCGATATTGATGGCCGCCCTCTTGGTGTAGGCGCACCTGGTGCAGTAGAAGTACTGCGGCTTGCCCGCCCCCATACCATGGAGGACGACGTCGGCGCGGACACGCCCAGCGCAAGGGACGGTGTTGTCCTCGGGAACTTCCTTGCCGACACACTCGGACCCATCCCCGTGGATGTAGTGGATCTGCCACAAAAGAGGAAGACAGGAAATTACTTTTGTTTGGACAACATGGGGTGGATATCGGGCATTGAGCCCACGGTGCAACAACAACGGAAAATGAAAAGAAACGGACGACATGGTGTGGTCATCGACAGGAACGGGAAAAGAAAACAAGGGTCACAGCAACCGGGAAACCAAAAACAGGACAAGACGTACCTTTTGGGTACTGTCACCGTTCGTTTTGTCGGCCGGATGTACTGGACACCGGGATCGATGTCGGTCCGGCAGCAGAAACACACAAAGGGGCGGGACTTCCTGCCTCCAGTCGGCTTCGGCTGGCTGAGCGACACATGCATGTCGCACGCGCTGTATCTGCCGCACAAGGGTTTTTGGGATGGTTTCTAAAAGGCGGGCTGATACGAGCCTCAAATATGCGAACAGTACAAGCGGAAAACTGCAAACCACCACTTATCCAGTGGCTGTGAGTAAACGGGTCGATATCATTCACAGCCAAGGGTCGACTGCCAAACGCATGACGCCACAAGGGAAGGAAGACTCAAGAGCACGGCGGCGGCGGCTGCGCGAACTAAGGCAAGGATGTCACATGGTGCTCCTGCTGCGAAGACTCACTTCTCGCCCCGGAAGAGCGTGCCGGGGCCGAAGTCCGTTTCCTTGCACTGGAGCCAAAGTCTTGCGCGAAGCGTCGTCTGCCGTGAACTTGGGCAGTTGGCCTGGCTGGTTCTCGTGTTCATCGAAAATGGGCCCCCACGCCTTCGATGGCTTGGAAGGCATACTTGGTGGTGTGTTTTAAGCTACTGCTGTAGGAGGGGGAGGGGTGTTGAAAGGATGTGTGAAAGGAGGGGGGCGACTGGCGTTGTGGGGGCTGCCACCCGTGCGTAGAAGGATACATATACACAAAAAGCAGTGCACGTGGAAGAGACATAAAAAGGCCCGCAGATATATATTCCGAACTGTTTTTATTTTTTTTGTTTTTGTTAAAGGTGTACCCCATTTTTGGGGGTAGTTGGCTTGTGACCACAGAAGGCGTCCGCGTCAGTTGGACTGTTATAGTATAGTATAGTATAGTATAGTACGGACATTAGAAGGTACTGAGCGGAGACCGAACGGTTTTTAATGTGAAGACACCAACACCAACACCAACAACAACAACAACAACAACAACAACAACAACAATATGAATACGCCGTGCTACGATTATTGTCGCACGTTAGGGAAGCGTACGGGCGTCCAACCCTAACATGATACCTCCGAGATGCTCGCTGTGGTGCATCACAACAGCAGCCTGACATATACAGCACCCTGACGGTACAACGGTGGGAACCCCGGCTCACGCAGCAAGATAAAAACTGTGACGTACACCGGACGGACCCTCTTTGTCTGTTCAACCGTCCCGTTCGGTTGGCGACACAGACAAGGCCGACTCTGGTCGGCAACAGGAGGGGGAAGCTCCTCAAACTCGGGGAGGGGTCATGATCTGCGATTCCCCACCGAACCATGCTCGAGATTCCGCGAGATTTGTAATGTAGCTCGAGATCAGCGTTACGGGCCGGGTCGGGCAAGGGGTGGGGTGGTCGAATGAAGCATGGATACTGGCCTGAGAAGCTGACGCTAAAGCTTCAAAACTTGTATGCATATAGCCAACATTATGACGGGTTTCAGATCTCGTTGAGGATTCTTCCGTAGGCCTGTGGGCGACGCCAGGAAAGGGCTAGTCAAGATGTAGCGCTTACGCTGGACGTCCTCACCGGTGTGCGCGTGTCTGTAGGGGGACGTAGGGGGTATTCCTCCTCGACACTCGGAGAAGGAAGGGCCGTAGCTTAGGCCGCACAGTGTTTTCCTAAGGAAATTAATTTCTTGTTGAAGAGGTGTAGCCTGATGAGCTGTAGAGCTTTTTCCCGAAGAAACGAGGCTTCAGCCCACACGCAGAACGCATCCACACGGAAGGAAGATTTTGTGTAGATCCGCAAAACCACCCTCGTTTTTGTTGGCCAATGGAACCGTCGTTTAGTTTGGTATTGATTTCCGGCTGACTTCTTGCACACACACACCTAATAGCACACACAACGCGCGCCTTTTTGTTCGTCCAGGTGTACGACGTTACCTCGTACCTCCATCAGCACCCGGGCGGCGACGCAATGCTCAGAAACGCCGGGGGGGATTCGACCGAGGGGATGCACGGCCCGCAACACCCGCCATCGGCTATGGAAATCCTCCAGACGCTTTACATCGGGCTGTTGGAAGCGTAGGTCATGGTTCGGGAGGAAAGTACGGGCTTTAATGTTGGGGAGGTTGCATAAGAACGACGTTCTGCTGTGATAGTTGCTGTCGTGTTTGGTGTTTGCGCCTGGCAACGGGCGCGTCGATAGGGGGTATTTGGGGGATTTCGAATACCCATGACGGCAGTCGCCCGTATAGTTTAGCTGTTGAAAAGTAGTGTGTCGTTTCCAACGCAGGTATGCATAGGTGTAATCTTTACCAGATGTTGTGTTCGCACGTGATTGTCGAGCAGACGAGCGAGGAGAACGCGCAACGCGGAACACGTGTGACAACAACGACATGACATTTGGTTGTTTCATCATGTCCTTGCGATCTTGGTGGTCGTCTGTATCCCACTTGTGTCTGCGCAAGCGGATGATACCCACATGTCCACGCGCAAGGAGCGCTAACGGCGCTTGCGGGCCCTTCCTTCCGACACATGCGTCGTAAACTTTCCCACACAAGCACAGTAGGTATTCTTTCGTGCGTGCCTGCTTCGAAAAGTAACCCGTGTCCAGCAAACCACCCCGTGGACTGCCGCCTGCGTTTCCGAAATTTAGAGCTCGTACTGCGCAAATGGGTCTTTGGTTTCTTGCTGCTCCATCCAGCTGGAACACATGAGGAACAGCAAGTAAGGAGTTATGGTCTTCACGGGATTTTTATTATTTTCGCACGGTGCCTGTTCCAACCTAGTACCTACAGCCATGGCCACGATCCGGGGCCACACGGACAGGAGGAACTAGGGTGTATGCCTTGGAACACGCCGAGGAGGGGTAGAACACCCTCCCCCGTTTTTGTTTCCTCCCTCGTCAACAGCTTGCTCGAATGTCATATACCACTCCCCTGCAAGCGCTGTCAAAACGAGCGAGAGCCACGCCGAGACTTGAACGCAAAACTGCTGCGGCGCTCATGGGTTTCGAGGGTACACATGTAGCGTCACGGCGTTGGAGGTGGTACTCTGGAGCCCCTTTAGGGGGTTTAAAAGTCTCTGTTGCGAAAAAAGTGACCACTATCTCGTGGGGATAGAGTTGATCGTTCCTCTGCAACAAAACCAATATTTAAGAGCTGTTCGCCCATCACATTTCTCGCAGGTACATATCTCGCTCATCAGTCTTTCGCGCAGCAGCACCTTCGATACTCTGCGCTTATCTCGTGGGGATAGAGTTGATCGTTCCTCTGCAACAAAACCAATATATAAGAGCTGTTCGCCCATCACATTTCTCGCACGTACATATCTCGCTCATCAGTCTTTCGCGCAGCAGCACTTTTGACACTGCGCTTCAAACCACGCGTGTGAGGGTTCTTGGTGACGTGCGCACGGTACGAAGGGAAGTTGGGGTGGTACGGGCGGGAAATGTTGCGCCGTTCTGATCGCGACAAAAGTGGCGTTGCCTGACTTGTCTGTCAGCTGTCACTTTTTCCTCGGTTAATACTCACCTCTTCTCGCTTCAAGAAACACTCGGTTCTCCGCAACAAGAAAGGGGCATGATTCACAACAGATAACACTCTTGACTCATGAAACGTTACAAAAATAACAATAAAACCCTTTGACACGGGCCCGCGGCAAGCGTGTTGCGGGAGGGAGAGCTGCCCCAAAAGAACCACTGAAGGGAAACAGAGCTCCTTCCCAAACCATTCCCCCCACGCACCAAAAAAGGAAGCATCCCACCCTTAAATCGTCGAAACAGCGGCGAAACAGTCAGGGAAAACAAGAAAAAAACGGTATAAGGTCTGGCATTTCCGCCAAACCCACCCTGCCCCCACATCCGCTCCCGGGACGGTTCTCAGCGTTTCGATTCAACTGTATCCCGGTTCGCGCACGGTCCAGGCTTGTTGGAACGTGTGTGAACGTCCAGAGAGCCTAGTCCTCCTTGGCATCCTCAGCAAAGCGCTCGATGTTGCCCGCGTCGGCCGGCACAAGTGCCGACTTGACGCTGTCATCATCCGCCTTCTTGTTGCCCAAGAAAGACAAGAAGATGTTGTACCCGATCTGCTCGTACGTTCGTTGCAATTCGTCGTTTCCCGCAGTTGCCCATGTTTTCATTAGCCAGGGTGGCCCAAGGGGGGGGGGGGGGGGGGTTAGAACAATTTGACTGGGGGCTCATGAACACTAAAAATCATCGCAGTTATGTCTTCATAGACTACAAAGGGAGTGGAGGCCGAACACCCACCACGGTAAACGCGTTGAGCAGGAGAAAACACACAAAAAGGAGCTTGCCTGGATGGTGTTGATGTAGAGCAACCGCTGCGACGTGGGCACGAACTTAAAGTTGATGGTGTGCGCGGGGATCCACACCGTCCAGGACCCCATGACCGCGGTGGCCAGGTCGTTCTTGATCTTCTTCTGGATGTCGTCGACCGACTTGCCCTCCGCCAGCCCCAGGTAGGTGAAGAACATCACACCGAAGATGGGGTTCCAGATAGTCTGTTGGGCGTTTTGCGGGTTGTTTTCGTGCGTTCCGTCACGTGCGCGGAACCAACCGGAAAGGCAAGATGGACGAATCGCGACAAGCGGCAAGTGGGAGAGGGGGGGGACGGGGGGGACTCATGTAAACGCATGCCGTAGTCGTTAGACCATAGTATTCACATCTCTACAATGCCGGGACGGAGCGATATGCCCGGTTTCGGTAGTTGTGGTGTAGAACGCGGGGGATGATGGCATGTGCTCGTCGCGTGCAGAATGTGTTGCAAAATTTGCGAGGCCCCAGCAGGGGCTCGACGCTACCGCTCGTGGCGTTGGCAAGGCGTGGAAAGCGTTTTCAGGACTTTTTCCAGGGGTCGTGTCGAGCATTTTGTCCGGCCGGCGGTGTGCTGCCATTCGAGTCGCTCGCTGCGAGTTTAGTGCAAGAGAGTGAGCGCGAGCTCTGCGTGCATCAATAACTCTACTAGATGCGAGGAAGGTTCTGAACAAGGCCACAAGCAACTTCTCGTGCTCGCGGCTGGGACGGGGTCGAGGGGGGGTGAGGGGGGGTCTTGGTGGTCGGTTCGGGAAGTCACCTGACCGTTGCCCTCGCCACGCTTTCGACACAGACCACAACTCCTCCAGAACAGGCACATCACCAACACCCGGGGTGATCTTCACAACGGCACTAAGCATACGCTACAAGGGAAAGCCACATGCGACCGCAGGGGCTTCAGGCACTGACCCATACAAAACGCAAGCGGATCCCCATATACAAGAATCGACACTTCTTTGGAAGTCTTCAAGGACGTACAACTCTAATGTTTTCCCGCCGCCAGCAACAACACGAGAACCAACACCAATACCAGTACCCCACACACATCGCCAGACGGCGCGTCCAAGGTGTGATACCTCCCCTTGTTATTCTAGTAAGGGGCTTCTGAACGCCGTCCCCCCCCCCCCCCCTTGCTCCAGATGTCGATCTCTAAAAGTGGAATAGTGCACTCCTCGTTGGGGCTGGCGGCCACACCATCGACAAAAGAAACCTTGATATCTACCCATGTGCTAGTCTATCGTTGGCAAGAGGTGCACGCCGCGTACCATGGCACGTGTCACATGCGGTACCGCGACATCACACTTGATGCCGCAACTGGTAACAGAAATCCGCGTGGTGTGCACGCGTGAAGCCCGTTCATATGTATATTTTTTTATCTCCCCTCCCACCCTAAACACGGAATGACTTGTCGTTAGGTTTGTCATGATCGTCTCGGGTAGAACGGCAATGGTCCCGTAGACAGGGAGAGCAATACTGGCGGATGACCATGAGCCCGTTGAATAGAGCCGGTCAAGCAAAACATTCAGCAAATAGAGAGAGAGCGAGCCTTCTCACAAAGCAATCGATCTCCCACGCCGCTTTTTCAAGTCTCCGCAGGTTGTCGACAGGCCAAAAAATCGCGTACAGTACGCGGGCTGGGCAATGACGCCTTGATGGCTAAATAGGTAACATGGTTTAGGGTGAGATGCAACATGCGCCCAACAGTAGTCGCCTTGACAAAAACAACGTTGCGTCACGACAGACTTTGCAACAGCAGTGCAACATACACAAAAAACGACTGCTGTGTCGTGCCGATCGACCAACTACACGGTTGGAAGACGACGACAGCAGTGACCTCTCAGCCCTCCACACACACACACACACACACACCAACGCCTTGCATCTATAGGGTTATATTATATGTATCTGCCGAGAAGGCGCTTTACCTGGTCGATGGCCACCTTCGAGGCGACCGTCATCGGCTTGGTACCGGGGAGCTTGGCGTCAAGCATCCCGTAGAAGTAGTGCCCCGTCGGCCCGTGCACCAGCGCACCGAAGGTGCCTGAGGGGCAAAAAAAAAAACAGCCACCACCCGACGCCGCAGCGGTCCGCCCCCCCCCCCGGTCGTTGTGTGTACCACCGTTGCCGACACAGAAAGTCGACCACAGAGAGGCAGCAGTAGGGGACGGAGAAGCAGCAGCAGCAGCAGTAGTACGTCAAGACGAGAGAGAGCACCGATTACCACCGGGAAACCGACAAGAAATGGCTACAAGTATGGTGTGTGTGGCGGAAGATTACTGCAGGTGTCCCGTTCACATGCAGCGCGCACTTCTGCAAGTGCATGTTGTACGGCCTTGCATAGCTGGGGCGATACAATTGAATACATTCCCCGCGGGTTCCTCGCATTCCAGCAACAACAGCTAGTCTACACCGCACCCCATTGTCTGTCCTCGCCAGGATTCATGGAAGACTACGCAGTGCGAAAACGCTGCTACTGCTGTCAACGACTTGGTCCGCAAGAACTGCGTTTGGCGGTAACCCTCGTTGATTTCCGAACCCGACGAGTGAAGAGAGCGAAAAGCTCTCTTCACGTTGATTGCACCCTCCGGTCTCTTGTGAAAGAATTAAAAAGATCTGTCCGACAGCTATTTGTGTTGTTGTGTTGCTGCTGCTGCTGCTGTATTTACAATGCATACGCGGTTGGTTCGCTTTTGAATCCGGCATGGGTTGGGGCCTCACGGAGGCAGACACAACAGATTTTCGGGCAATTTTGTTCTGCCCCAGTTGCGGTGAAAAAACCACACACGCCCGCGAGGATTTTGCCATCCCATCACCGCCGGTCACTACTGGGAAAGCACCTCTGTGGGATGCCATGCCAGCAACCCTTTACGCTTAGCCAGGGTGGTGTGGTCATGCAAGCTGGATGAACGCAAGTACCGCCGTTCTAAGGTGTATTGTAGCCAGCCTGGGTTCTGTGCCGATGACGAGGCATGACGTAGAGCGAAGAGGTGCGAAAGAGACTTGAGCAAACTGTTCATCGGAAATGCGAAGAGCGCCACGATGAAACGCTTGCCGCAAAGAACGGCAGACTAGTGCTACCCCTAGGCCGGTTGGCGTGTGTCGGCGGTGCTAAGCTACAGCAACCATCACACCTAGCCGAAGCGTTCGCATGAAGTCGTAGTCGTCTTCCGGGCTGATGAACTTTTGCGCGAGGATGTCACCGACCGTGAACCCGGTGAAGGACGTCATGGCCTTCACCAGCAGAGGCTGCGCTGCCAAAGCCTTGTTGTACGCCGCCCATATTCCCGACATGCTGTGCTCGGAGAAAGGGGCAGCGGAAGGATTGGAAGAGAGAGTATAGAGATGAAGTGTTGTCCACTGCCATGCATCGCCAGACAACACAGCCTGTCGCCGAGAGGGGGCCGTCAAAATGTAACCTGACCCCCCATCTTTACGAAAATACGCCGTGTGCGGGGCAATTATCACATCAAATGTTGTACCAAATGGACAATGGATACACGCAGATACGCACGCAATCCATAACTAAAAGTATTGCTTGTGCGCACCTGCCGCGGAACCACGAGTCAGTTGCAGCAGTGCAATACGCCGAGCTGTGCGTAATCCAGTGCATGTATGCGCACTCAATCCACAAATCAAGGGCCGCTGTGCGTGTGCACCCGCCGTGACAGAATTAAGGAATAATAAAAACACACACAGAAAGACTACCCATTCGAGAATGTTCCACGAATATGTGCTCAAGACTGGTTTTATGTACATGTAATCTATAAATATTACTCCATAGTTAGTTGAGCATGCAGTTTATCTCCTCGGCCGTGCTTGAACATGTGGTGGGAAAATGGTGGGGAGGCGTGAGGCCCACCGACCAACCCAATATACTTGGAAAATATTACACGCGTGGAGCACGAAAGTATTCCGATCGGTGTTTGGTGGTGTTGTCTACTTGTACTAAGTACGAAGTACTATAATAGTGTCGACCTACAACACGGTTTTTACCTAGTATTACAGTAGCTTACCACCAAATATTCGTGAGTGCGTCTGCTCGTCATGCGTGCGAGGATGCAGAATTGCGCTGCTTTCGTTCTTACGAATACAGGTTTTGTCGTCCATCCCTTTTTTACATCACCCACTCGCAGTTCCTGCAGTTTGAGGTCGACCGAGGTCTTCCTCGATGGCCGCCGTAGCGGTAATTGGAGAACTATTGTTCCGCGTCAAAACCTCAAGGTCATTGGTCCCGGGCCCCATCGTTCCTCCTGCTGCCCCCACGGTAGTAGTTGGGGCTGTTGAATTCAACCTACCACGCGCTGTGGATGGTTCTAGGGCGGATGTCCGTTGAAGGCTCGACAATGACTCCCTCATCGACGCCGCCGCAACCCGCGGGTTGCTACCACAACTGTTCTCTCCGCTGTACCGTTGCGATGGACCTGGCGAACCAGGAATACTTTGATCTGTGTCCGCACCCTTCTCAAACGGTGGGGCGGTAGCATGTAAATGGTCGGACGGTTGCTGCTGCAGCTCCGACAACGCTGGTGCTGGTCGATAGCCGAAGCCGCGCAAGCACTCTGATGTCCCGCCACGCATGGTGGCGGCGACCAAAGTCGCTACGCGGGGTCCGAGGCGATTGTCAGCCACTACGACCTGTTTGAGAATCCCACAGTTTGATGCGAGGCCAGCAGCAAGGGCAGTACCCCCTTCCGGCCCAAGGCCGTTCGCTCTTGGAAACCAACAAAGATGCGGACGTGGGGGGGAACGGGGTTCACAAGCAGAGGATATGTCAAGGTACGGCTCCACGGACAAGTCACCCGAGGTGGTGGTGAAGATCATCATCACACATGACAGAGGGTTGCTCAATCATGAGGGATGCACGACGATCTGAAACATGTCATACTTCCCAATCTGCCGCTCTCCATCCATCCTTCCGTCGACCACTAAACTTCCATCACGCACCTAACACTGAGCCGCGTGAGGGTCTTGTTTCGACGCAGCGCGACGGCCAACGGATCCCCGCAACCTGCGCCGAGGGAGTTGCTTGCGAGGTCAAGGTCGACCAGCCGGAACTTGTCACGGCCAGAACCAATAGCCGCGATCATTGCCTGCCCCCCATCAACACCTAGTTGGCACCCCGCCAGGTTTAGACGTCGAAGATGCGCAGAGGTCTCCAGCGCAGCTATGATGAGCCGCGCTCCGCCTCTGCCGTCGCAAATCGAAGTCGCAGGACGAGATAAGGAAAACGGGGCGAGGCATGGGTATCAGCAAGTGCGCATGCAAGGGCTTACCATTGAATGGAAGGTGCAATTCTGCTCGGCGACTAGTTCTTTAGCCACACGCATCATTTGCGCATAGAAGTGCAATGGTGGCGCTGTTTCATCGAGCGTAGGAATCGGTCGGAACCGTACGAGAAATTCTCAGTAGCAGATGATTTATTTCCTAGGAAACCAAGGGCGGAGTTTTGCGAACCCTCCTCACTTACCGACGAATAGGGTTCCAGCTAAGGTCGACTTCTTGCAATGTTTGAGAAGTGGCAATTGCGTCCGCAATCGGGCCGACCGCTTCGCCGATCAGCTTGCACGCTATCGTGGCCAACTGCAAGGCGGGCGCCGCGAGCAAGCCAACGGATGTGGGATAGAAATATACATATTTCGGAGAACGATGCAGCGTTAACCATGGTCGCGGCTAGGTTGGGCGGGGAGATAACTCTTCATCAGCGAAGATTCCCGCCAGCAACTTCCCGTGCAACAACGATAAGTTCTAGCTACCCGTGACCAGCGGTAGCCCGATAAGGTACATGATCGTCACACACCCCACCACCGCCGGGCATATTCTTCAGGATTTCAGGACCTATGACAAGCTTGAGGCACCCCTACCTTTGTGAGGTTTGGGATTGCTTCGAGGAAAAATGATAGCTTCGCTGTGTCTGCTGGCAGTAGCGGGGCGTTGCACAGTCGCACCTGTTCTCGGCAGAATCAACAAACATCACGGCAACGAAAAGGAGAGTCGGTGTTGGGCATGAGGGCTCACGGCGGCTAAGCAGTGGACGAGCAGCGCAAGCCCTGAGGAACTGGCGCGCATCAACCAGGGCGAACCAGTCATTGCCGCGTCTGCATGCCCGCCCTTCGTTTGTGATACCCTAGAGAGAAAAAAGTGTTGCGGGAAATTATTCGTTGGTCGACAAACTGTGTCGACTGTTGAGCGAGGTTAACTGATGACGGACTCCGTCTACCCGCGTCTCTTCACGCCTCCGACACGACGTCCTGTGCTCTTCCCTTTCCGCGCCGTCTTCATCGTCGCTACAACCGTCGTCGTGCCCCGACACCGCCAAGGGCATTCCCATCTACTTCGGTAGGTGCCCGTCTCTCGGGAGGAAGAGGAAGGCCGTGTGTTGTCCTAGCCAAGACCCTCTTTCGGAACCAAAGGGGCCTGCTGCGCACCTACCTCTGATAGAGTGCGCCAAGCGAATGACGGCAGAACGCTTCGGAAACCCGGAGTAAGAGCTCGTGCTGACGAGGCGAAGGCTTCGGCCACCAAAGGGTGCAAGTGTAACGGCATCTGCAAGAAGAAGGACGCGTTCGACGGTGTGGAGGAGTAAACGGGGGGAAAGAAGTGAGGAAAAAAGGGTACATAGCATCTTCTTGTAGCAAAGTGCGCGTGGTGTGCAGGTAGGTCGATACGATCACCCCGGTCACCAATGACTAGCTATTGCCGTCGAGCACAATCGTGCTGTGCCAATGATACGTGTAACAGACAGGGTCGACATGTGTACAAACAGGGTCGACATGTGTAACAGACAGGGTCTGGGCCTGTTGAAGGGGGCACAATAGTCACAGGGGAAAAAAGGGAAAAAAAAATTAAAGCCAACACAAAAAACAAACTGGTCACCGCTGCCCCTATCAAACACACATGATCGCCAACCGGCATACCTTTGCCATGAGGACGGACGCCTTGTTGAGGGACGGCTGCCTGTCGGTAACGACGGCAAGGTTGGAGATGGCCAGATCCAGGAGAGTTTCTGGGTCATGCTGCCCCGATTCGACCGTGATGTCGGCCTTAGCCTGCACAATATAAATATTTTCAGGGCAATTGGCTGGTGGGGCCACAGGAAACGTGTGGTATTTTCAAACGTCCACATCAATACAGTCTCTTTCCGCACTCGATGGCTTCCCGCGGAGTCGGTTCCTTGGCATCATGAGAGAACCCCTTCCTATCTATAGGCCAACCTAAACGCACCGGGGCGACGATCCCATCCTCCTCCGCCTTGCCGAAGGCGTCGTCGCGAAAGTTACCGACCGTCTTCTGGCCGCGGGCGTCGATGAAAACCCCAGGGCCGTCGCGGTTGCCAGCTCGCCACTTCCCGCTGTGTTCGGACCCATCGGGAAATCTCTTTGTCCCTTCTCCATGCTGCGTCGAGGGAGGCACGGCAGTTCTCGTTCGATGAACACGGTTGGCGCGAACAAGCGATGTTCTGGCGCGAGAGCTTGTGTGGTAGGCACCCGCCACCACCCCAACAACAGTGGCGCTAGCTTGGGTCGAAACAATAAAAGTCATGCCCGAGTCACACAATCATTCAGCTGGGTTCGTTGTATTCTTGCGTTGCAATAACCTGGAAAAGACCGACGTCGTGTTCCTTTTTCCGCGAAAACTCATGCTATCCTTGAGCCAAATGCTCCGCTGCCCGTCACAGTAGTCCCTCGCCTGCCCCCCGTACCATGCCGTCCGCCCTCCACGCTGTTGACCGCACCTCTTTTCCGAAATTAAACTCCCCGACATACTCAGACTCATCGGGCCAAGTTTTAGTCCCCATGCCGTTAGGCTTCCCTTGCTTCATCTCCCCGTGATACCTGCACAAAGGGCCGTACGACGTGGCAGGGAGCATTCACCGAGAAGATCGGGCAGAAATACACGGTCGACCCACAAGAGAGAGGCCTTCGCCACAAGGTATCTACACCTCGCACTCTTGAACAGCGTGCGATTAACCCTTGTGTGCCTAGAAAATCTAACTATTCCCCGCATGGATGAGACATGGTGCAAGTGCTTCCTCCTCCTCCCCTTCTACTGGCACATACATAACGCGGCGAACGCGATCACGTTCCCCCGGAACCCGACCTGAGCAGATTGATTCAATCTCACCGAATCCCGTTGCCGTACGCGATGGTTGACAGCTTTCCTCCAGGGGGTGTGTGCTGCTGTCCGTGAGAGAAGGTGCTGGGGTGTAGAGTAGGGGGGGCGGGGGGGGAGACGACATCAAGACACGCTTTTCCAGCTTTTCCAACAGCGTTGGACCATGGGGTTGGCTATATTATTTACGGGTGCGTGGAATGCGCGACCCACCCTGGGCCTTCGGAGAAACACTTCTGAGGGATAGGAGCGCATTGTTCGTGTCCAGAGCCCAAGAGGCAACGAGGCCAGTAGCATATCTTGCGAAACTGTGGAAGCTCCGGCACCACCAATGAACGGACATCCCTCCGCCAAACCCTTGAAGCCCGAAAGACTAAACGCGTGTCCGAGTCAGAACTGAACCCCGGCATTCTTTGTGGGGCGGTACTACCGTTTGCGCTTTTCTTTCGTGTCTGGTTAACTCTGGTCGGGGCCATTCATTGCTTGGCCTTGAACAGTGCGGAAGGGATACTGTGCGGGGCTTAGAAACGTTGCTTCAATACCAAAGAAAAACCAACACTACCACCAAAAACAACAAACATATATAGTCTAGACCCCTGTCATATGAAAGAAACGAAAAAAAAGTCGGCCACTCTTCCCGATCATGTGCACTACCTCCCCCCCCCGCTAACGCGCGCACGCCCTCACTCCTGTCCAGGCTTCGGCTCACCTAAGGCACCAAGACCCGTCCTGGTACTCTGCAAGTCCCCAGCCGTGAGCCCTGCCGCCGCTGGTCTGGCCGAAGTAGTCAACCCTTCCTTCTGGGGAGAACCAGCACAGGTAGTCCCCCGCGCCGTTGGACTTGTGTTGACTGATGCAGCGGAGCTTCATCTGGATCTCTCGGGCCGCGCGGCGACGACCCTCGCCCGCGACTACAGCTGCAGCCTTGGAGTCACATCAGTGATGGGCGGCGTGGTTCGTCGGAAGGGTAAGGACGGGGACGCGGGTGAAGCATGGAGTCGGTAAGAGGGCAACGACAATCGTTTCGGGAATAGTTGCGGTGAGGTGTCGTGTGTGAGTGTAACTTATTTTTCCACAAGCGTGTGCCACTGCAGAACCGCTGCACGAGTGGACGTCGCACGCCGTACTGCCAGGCAGGAGAGACTGCGCCGGGCCAGATGAAAACAAAATGTCCGTCATCATCCATTACACTGCTTTCCTCTTGCGTGGAATGTTTCTGGGACTTCGTGTTAGTCTCGCCTTGTGATAATAGTTCAATTATCCACCAATACACCAACTGGTTTCGCCTGAATACTATACCACCAACTGATCACCTTCGCTTTCAAGCACTCCGAACGTTGATCGTCGAACCTGCCTGGTCGTAGCGATTGCTCGCTTAGGCAGGAGTACATGCATTTGGCGTAGCTCCGGGCTAGACGTGAGCTTGACAGGAGGTCTCCCATCCCCCTCGGATCAACATCCTTGTACACCTGTCACCGAAAAATGCCCCCAGAAGTAAGTCCCGACCAAGGTACATGGTAGGCGTTGCCTGTTCTAAGCATGAACTCAGTCGTATCGTGCACAACATGTAAATAATTGGAAATCTGTGAATGCAGCAGACGTTTCTTCAGCGACCGAACCCTAAGGCCAACTACATGATGGGCCGATCGAACGAAATCTTGAGCTTGTTCGCAAACAGAGGAGATGTGGGTGTAGTTCTCCGGAGAGGGTCAAACATCATTCAGTGTCTGAAGATACCACGGTAAATCCCTCCCATCTCTCGCACCTTCATAAGCTGTTTTCTTGTAGGGCGTGGGGGAGGGGTGCTCGCTGCCGCACTCTTCCCTGTCTTCCCAAGACCTCCTCCGTCGCCACCACCGCCGCGCCCGAACACGGGTTTCTGGGCGGGCGGAGGAGGAGGGCACGGACTCAACGGAGGTAGACCTTCTCGTTCCAACTTGGCACTGGGGGTACTCAAGCAGACAAATGAGAGGAAACGCGCGTGGAAGAACTGGCCTAGTTGGAGGGGGGATTAGCACGTGCTCTTAGAACTATTCCAGCCAGTCAGTTATGCCGGTGCGCATCTCAGCAGTTTCTGGGTCGTGTTTCCGGCGTGTTAAGGAAGTGAGCTTTATCTACACACAAGAGCCCGAGGCTTTGGCGCTATGCATGCAATCTTCTGTACGCCTAGTGGTGGCGCCAGTATGATCATGTTGAGTACGAACCGTAATCGCCGACAACTTACGTATCGCAAGCACGTCTCTTTTCGCACGGCATCTATATACAGTAGTCAGGCTAGCGTTTTCCCACCTCTCCATCAGCCAGTTGAGACAAGGGCGACACAGAAGAAACGAGAGCGCCACTTGGCCGCGGTCAGCGGCAAGTGCAACCGGCCCCGTCTCGCTCCTTGGTATGAATTCCTTGCATCGACTGCACTTTCCCCGGTACATACACAGTTCCGTCCCTGCCACACCCGTAACACGCACAATACGCAAGGATGTGAAAGAACGTACGGTCGGAATTCGATTATCGCACGGGGATCGGCGATATCTAATGCACGGGGGTGCGATATCACCGATACCGATTGCCAAGTGTGGTTCCGGGTCGGACACTGCACCGGAGGTACCTCGCGGTTTCATTGTGAATGCTGTACGTAGGGCGGCACCGCGTCCACACACTGAAACATGAAATCAGGAGTCAGACGATACTTTGCTGCTGTAAAGAGGGTTTATTGATTCAACCGTGTCGCACGGGTCGGTGGTATCGCACGCCCCTTCCTTGTGATAAACGTTCCAGGGCCGAATTGTTTATTCGATTACATCTCGCGGGGATCGGTGATATCGCACGTGTCGGTGATCTCGCACCCCGCCAGAGAATGTCCGACGTCCGAACAATCACGAAAGTACGCAACATGGACTGATGTTGCATGCAGCGAAGGGGCATATGAAGTGTGAAGACATGTACGTACATTGCATGCAAGAAGAGCAGGTATGTTATTTGTAGACTTCAGATGATACACGGGTGACGTAACATAACACAAGCCTGGATCGACTTTCAAAGTTCCACCTCTTCTCCACCCAAGGACGAAATGAAGGACATTTTGGTTTTCGGGACGGACATGCTTTCTATGAGATGGCTTCGGCACCATTTTTCGGTCACCGCCATTCTTTCTGCTGTGGAGCGGTGGGGCTTTCAATATCGGTCCAGCGGGTGTGACATATTACCTGTCACCTATATATATATAGCAGTGAATGTACGTGCTCCCGGTGCAGCGACAAAAATTAAGGAATAATAAAAACACACACAGAAAGACTACCCATTCGAGATATACCCACAGCAGTAGTCGAACGGGATGTGGTGGAGTCTTTTCATAATATAGCGTCTTCTTGACTTGCTGGAAGGTTGCCAATTGTGCGGACACGGGACCATCAGGCAATATACCAAAGTTGTTCGTTGTGCTCGAGTTTGTAAGGTGTGTGCATGATGCATATATACGTTTCACGTTTACTGTACATGTAGCTTTCGCGTACCATCGGCCCAGGCAGGATCGTCGTCTCCGAACTCCGCCGGACGTTCCAGAGTGATCTTTCCGCTCTCTATGCTGTGATAAAACACCCTCTCCGTTGCGTCGGACACTCGAACCCAGCCATTTCGGCTTGCTTTCGAACCCGAAAGCCAAAGCTCCGGCTGCTCGTCCTCCGCACCGAAAGATCCAGAACGCTGTCGCACTGGTCGTTGCATTCTGATTGTACCGTTGTCCAATCTTGGCGTGCTGCCCCCGGCGGGATATTGAGTGCTGAGCACACCGTCCGTGTGTTGTCTTCTCTGTAGTAAGGTAGGGATGTTTCCCTGTAGGTTCAATCAGTCAGCCCGAACAACGCTGGGCGAATGCTCCATCACAGGTTGTTGTTGTCTGAGAAGAAAAAAGACATGTGTGTGTGTGTCGTTGTGTGTTGTGTGTGTGTGGCGTTTCACAAAAAAGTTCTGGGTCGTCGAATGGTGGAGACGTGAAGTCTCGCCAGTGCTGCTGCTATTATTTCAGGTTGTGGCGTTTCAACGACACTGCGGATGGCCACAGCACCCCTGCCCCCTTAGATATTTGTTGTTACCGCGTGCCGTTCTATCGCTAGGGTGAGCTTTCAAACATGCGTGCTGCGTCTAAAATCTAGATAGATTTTGATGAGATGATGCGCGATTCCCGATTCTCCCATTGGATCTTGCCGGATCTGCGGTCATGATCGGAGATCACAGCAGGTTGTTTGTTGCTGTTGAGCACTGACTGCTGTGTTGGGTGGCTTGGTGCGCCCGGCGCAGTTGTAGACGGCAAAAACAAAAGAACCGCGCGGCGAGTTTGCCGGCAACGATAAAATACAGTAAACTGCCCGCGGGTGTGGTAACCCGCCGCATCTATGATGTTCCGGAGCGTGATAGCTCTGATGTGTTGACGCTGGTGCTGTGATAGCTGTTGTGATGGCGTGATAGCCTAGAGGCGTGAAAGCCTGGCAGCGTGATAGCTGGTGGATAGGTAGTATGGACACGGGCGTGATAACCCAGGGCGTGATAGCCGGGAAAAAGGAAGAGGGCACGTGGCACCGTTGCAGACACGCATACCAAGAAAACAAGAATATGTGGCAAAGATGGTACCACCATTCCCCCAATTTATTACAACTGCGGAACCCCCAAAATTCCCCGCTCCATCTTCTAGGAACATTCCTCGGTTGCAATAATCTGTCAATGCTGTGAGTACATCCAACATCCTGTATGTGTACTGCTGAATGCATAGGAGATTCTCAAAGAAGAGCACAAAATTGGAGAATCAGATATATTGAACTAAGACCTCTACAGAATGTGAGTAAACACGTTCGGCGTCACTGTCGACGAGGAAAAGCGACGGCTGAACCCTTCTCGCAAGCTTGCTTCTCGCGAAAAAACCATGGCAAGCAGGGGGGATAAAGTAGGGCAAAAAATAGTGTAACACAAACAAATATGCCACCTGTGGGACCTCCTGTTGAGCCTGCTTGATTGAGTGGCCCCCTCTGCAATTCAGGTACGTTACCGAAAGCCTGTAAACCGGCACCAGAGTAGTAGATCCTGTAGGACCAACACGCACATATAATAATCGTAGGGAGCGAGATATCCCTCACCCGATAATAATGATGAGCGTGGTGGGCTGTTCCGGTACCAGCTTGCTACATGGCATTGTAACTGGCTTCGCTTCCGGCTACGGAGATGGACCAAAAATTCCGCATCACCATGCATAAAATTCGCCCGCGGAGGACACCGACGAACAGAACAGCTGCATTTCCAGCAACAACGTAAAAAACTCCAGTCTCTCCGACTGCATGCTTTCTTGGCGGCCCCATCTGACTCTCGCGGCGTGTGCTGAGCAACGAACAGAACGTTTTGGTTCGTCCGCAGCCCGCAGCAACACCCGCCGCCGCCTGCCGGACGCAAACTGTCTGGGCATGTTGTGACCGCTCCCATCAACGGCAGCCGAGAATCGCCATCTCCGAAAACACGTCGTGTCTTATCCTGTCTTAGTAGGTCCAAACCTTCGCGTTCGAACCACACGCTGCCGTTTGTCGGCAAATAATCACATGTGGTTCACCCATCACGCAGTCGAGGGTCACCAAATCCCTCTCTACAAATATTTTCCGTGGGTTATATCACGGGCTTCAACGAGCACAAGGAGAACCAAAGTCCAAGAAAAGACAGGCGAGGGCGCAACGGCGGCGCGGAAATCGTACTGCTGGTATTGCCGACGATCCGAGGAGGTGCGATCCGGTGTCCCGGCGTGATTTGGGGCTCCCTGTGTTGTGGCAGAAAAGCCGGGGTGTTTGTGCGTTTTTTTGTACGAGACCTCTCGAGATTTCCTGTGTATCACCACAACAGTAGAGTCTGCCTCTACGACAGGGCTCTCGCTCTCTCTCTCTCTCCTCTCCTCTCTCTCTCTCTCGTTTGTGGCCCGCGCAGGTGGGAGCGTGTGATATCACTTCATCATCAGTAGCATGTCGCGTTCGTTCAGTGATGCGCCAGATGCTGCCCTCTTGTTTTCTCTCTCTCTCCTCCTGCTGTTCTACTTCGCCGACAACCCCAGACGCTTACACATATTACCCGACCAAATCCCGCCTCGTCCACACTGTTTGTACTATAATGAGCAGAGAACGGTCTTCTTTTTTGGCCCAAATGATAAATGCCTGCACATCTGCTGTGCCAGTAGGTGCGAGCTGGTACCACATATGGTACGTTATGGCGGCCGGGGTTCTGGGTACTGATGATCGGGGCACCTCTCACTCCTCTTTGCGAAACTCTGTTGTTTCTCACGTCTCGTACATGCCGCTCGCGCTAATCTTTTTGCGTATTTGTTGCATCCATGTATCTTTTTGGTCGGTCAGACACCGTCTGCCGCTTTGTGAGATAAGCGGGAGACAGGAATTTCTACATACATAACGATGCCTCCAACAGCATGATGCATACATCGAAAATTGCGGACCCAACCGGCGGCCCCTCATTCTCTTCTTGTGCAACAACATCCACACCGTAAGCAACGCGCTTGTTTTGCAATCGCCGAGGCGTTTTTCCGAGACCGAAACAGCGTGTTTCGATCACTGCACCTCGATCTTCGTCTCCACTACAAGGCAAACTCAAAAATTCGAAGGCGAGAAAAGAGAGAAAACAGCGACAACAAGAATCCGACAATTTCGGCATGCCACTAGATTCCACCGTCCGACCACGCCATCATCCACCCGACGTCGTCGAACAACAGGCAACCAAGCGGGACACATAAAACCCGCCTTCGACGACCAGCACCAGATGGTGTTGAGCGCGGACGCTGAGAGCGACATGTCCAAGAACGTGTCAGTGGCTACCGGCGGGATCGCGGCAACGGGAGGCGGCGGCGGCGCCCCGGCCGGGCCGAAGGCCGACGGCGTGAACGCAATCCAGGGAAAGCTCGCCGGCATCCAAATCGACGGCGGAGTCGCCGGACAGCAGACAAACCCCAACAGCAACAACTATTTCGGTTACGGGCCCAGCGGCGGGTTGGCGCTCGATGTCGACGGCGGCGGCGGCGGCGGGGCTCCCACGCAGGGCGTCGCTGCTCCCTCGAGCACCGCCGGGGGCAGCGGCGGCGTAACTGCCGGAGGGGGCGGCGGTGGAATGGGGGGAAGCCACACCACGGGCGGCACCACAGACGGCAGCGGCGTCAGCAGGAGGTTCGGCGTGCCGATCGCCAGCAGCTCGAGGACCGCTGGGGCCGGAGGCAACACCCGCGGAGGCGGCGGCGGCGGTGGCGGAGGCGTGTCCGGTCTCACCGGGCCCGGTGTTGCCTTTGGTGACGACCGCAGGAGAGCGGGTGGTGCAGCCGGCGGCGGCGTGGGAGGTCGGCGGGCCGCCGGCGGGAGCGGGAGCGGCATGGGCGGGGTCGGGCGCGGGAGCGGTGGCAGGGCGTCGGGCGCACGGGGGGGGTACGAGTCGGCGGCCGCGGCCGCGGCGTCCCCTGTGCGGGGACCTGTGGACCACTCTCAGCTTCAGGTGCGCACGTGTGTTGGCTGCATAAGCATGAAGCCAAAGAAGTTACTAATACACTCTACGTAGTCACACCACGTGGAGAAGGTCGTTCGACGGGTCGGACTGTCCGACTCCCCGGGAAGCGCACAAAGCTTTCTTAAGAAGAGTGAACGTGTGTGGCCGGAGCGGTGGCAAGAACCGTCGATGCCGATTCCGCTCGCATGTCTCTCTGTCTCTCTCTCCTATCATAACATGCACTTGCATCCAGGGTATCCATACGTACATTGTACAACGGGGGGAGGGGGGAATACGCGACGCGTGTCTATTACACGGTTAAACCGGAAATATTTTTGCGAGTTTGTTAAATGTTCCGAAAGAAAAAGCGTTCTCTGGACGACCGGCGTCTTGTTGCGGCAAGATATATCGCCGGCCCGTCGATTGTCTCGAGTCTTCAGTACTGCTAACCAGACACGCCCAACACCCTGCCTATTCCTGGACTCTTGTATCGGCCGTCGACAGAGATTACTTCTTCGTGTATTCGTCAACAATATTAATTTGTTGCAAGTTGCAGATATGCTCGTGCGTGCACGGAAGTCCACGCCAAAAGTACGTCTGCTCTCTGCTACCGCAGTTTTTTCTGCTGCTGTGTCTCATTGTTCATGTGGGTACACACGCACGTGTATGTAGAGTACCGTGTTTCTGTTTGGTGCTCGTTCAGATACCTACGGCGGCAAGTTGTTTTCGGCCCAAGTCTGGGAGTGGAAACCCGGCGACAATGCACGTCGTTTTTTATTGACATACTGTACTCATGCATACCTTGTCGAAACGAGTCTTTGTGGTGGTGGGTGTGCGGACTGGAATCGCACATGTTTTCTTCCCACGAAATATTTTCTCAGCGGAGAGTAAGCCTTTGTGTTCCTGGCTGCTGTCACAGCTACATGCTCTTTAGACCTTGGTATTTCCTTCATTTCGCTTTCGCGTGCATACATATATCCGTTGCTTCGCCTGTTGTTTTGTGCCCGTGTTTCGACTCTCCTTTACTCAATCACAACGTTTTCGAAATTTGCCGGCTGCCCGCGGGCACATATCTCCACCCCCACCCCCGCTCGACCCCCAATCAATGTAGCTTGGTTATCCGCAATTCATTCCTTCCCGTTCCTCGCACACTACTATGCCGTACGCGGGTCTTGCTCGCCCGCAGGCGCTATCGCACATGGGGTACGGCGGCGGCGGCGGCGGCAACGACACCATGTCTCCGACCTCCGCCACGGGAATGGCGGGTCAGGCGCAGCAGCAGCAGCAGCAGCCGGGGTTGTACAGCACGGGGAGCAACGGCAGCAACCACTCCGGGGGCATGGGGCAACCCGTCGGCTTGAACATTCACCACGTGAGCAATCAAGACATCCTCTCATTCGACTTGGCCCATTTTTCTTCTTTCTCGTCCTTTTGTGTGGATGCATGCAAACAAGTATAATGGGATCGGTGGCCTCTCCATTCTTTCGTGACCCTTCCTCTCTTCCTTTTACGGGGACATTGCTCTCCCCTGTTGTTGTTGTCGTCTGCCTGCTGTATCCAACTGAACGTTGAATTTCTTCCGAGCCCCAAATCTACCACATCTGCTGGAGTTGGCGTTTTTTCAGCACGATGGATGCGGCGTACGGTGCCGCTGCCGACGGCGGTTGGATTTAAATGTTCATATTCGCGGTAAACTAAGGTCGGGGGGTACACCTCGGAACGTTTTTCGAACCTTTTTTGCTGCTCCGGCGAGTCCTAGCCTTGCTACGTTCAACATCGCTTAGTCCTGAAGAGTTACTATCAACGTGTAACCAAGGCTCGCTCCGGCTTGCCTGACCGTACTCGAGAACGTGCTTCTCGTGAGCAGCATTTCCTTTGCTGCGAAGGTTGGGGAAGCATCGGGCACTTCCCTTGTGATGAAGGGATGGTTCCTTGCGGCATGATGTCCAGGCGACCTGGCAAGTTGTTCGGTATCCCAGTGGATGAATACCCTCAGGCACACTATCATCGCGGTTTCGCAGTTTTGCTTGAGGTCGCTCGGTACTGGTAGGTATGCATACGCGTGCGGTAAACCGCTTGCCAAAAGGGAAGACGCGTGAAGAGTGCCCCGCAACACTTGTATGCATATCCCTACAGAAGTGTACCAGTATTTCGAAGGACTCGATCAGTCTTGTGCGTTGGCCACATGGCGTGGAGAGGGGCGGTCGCCCGGCAACTTTGGAACTATTATTGAGATGTGTAATGGGTATGCATATGCATACTACTCCGAGTTGGATGAAAAAAACCACACATACATACGAATTCGAAGCTCGAAACTTCGCTACAGCATGGTTGTCCCACAGCTTGCCACGGCGGGCAGATAACGTCCATCCTCGACGCGAAACAGAGGGAGAGAGGGTACCAAGGCTTGCGACTTTTGAGGGGGCGGTGGGGCTAGCCTTGTGATGAAACAAGATGGCGTGTCCTAGTTTAGTCCGAAACAAGGCACGAGGTGAGTTGGCCGGAGAGTTGGCGACGTGGTCTTTCAGCTATTGGTTTATTTTCTCACATGATATTTTGTTCCACCTTCCCTTCTAAAACGACACACATGTATGCATCTCGTTGTGGATGTATTATTACGGTAAGAACCCTTCGAGTTCGCCCCCTTCATCGCGGGTGCGCGCCCCACACGACCGAAACAAAACGTTTTTTTTACGAAATAGCATCTCAAGGCCATGCATGTACACTACACCCTCCTCGGGCTTCCTTTCGCAAAGAATTCCTGGCACTGCTCGTGTTGAGCTTGTGTTTGCGCTGTGGAGCCCATCTGGCTGAATCCAATCGAATCAATCCTTTGCCGGTGTGTGCCCACGTGGACGTTTTTTGTTTCTCGTCGACTTTTTTTCTCCCCTCTGGGTACGTCCCGGGGCATTCGTTCTTTCTCGGGCTGTGATTGGACTGTAGTACCTTGGGCGCCCCACGGGGTGCTCGAGTCCATGCACGTCATTTGTCCTGGCCTATTTTTTCCCTGTGCAGGATATAGGTACCACTGCTTTTTGGTTTCGCTCGACCTTCGTTTTTTATCCCCGGAGGGGGTGTCCTGGCGGGACGAGGCAGTCCTGGTCGTTCGTTTTCCTCCCTGCTGCTGCTTTATGAAAGCATCTGCGTAGCAACCGCCGCCTAGACCCACCGCCATGCTCAACAACCACTTCTGTGAATGAAGGAAACCACGCCCCCCCCCCCCCGGGGACTTTTCCGCGCCGGTGGCTTTGTTTTGTTCCTCTTGAAAAATATCACCCCTCTCTGTTAAGTATGCCTTTCTTTGCGCGCCGTCATCTGGTTCCGCACGGCGGGGAAACGGGTGTACGGTAGTTTTGTTGGCGCCTATCCAAGCAATGTTTCCGATGTGGATCAGGGAGTCGGTGTCTTTTTACATGAGGCTCTTTGCTTGATCCGTGCCGTGAACAGCTAGCGAAGAGGGTATGCTTGCTTCGCGCGACTTCGTCCGTTTCGTATCGTTATTCCGCCGTCCCACAATGAGTGTTGCCGACTCTCCGCCATCGTTTTGATTTGCGGGTCAGTCTTGTCCGAATTTCGACATGCGCCACCTCCCTGCCCCCCGGTCAGACTGCAAACGCTAAAAGCCTGGGCTTTGGTGGAGCCAATAAGGCGGTCCATGGCGAAAAGGGGGTGTGGGGGTCGCGTTTACCTCGGTACTCTCGAAACAGGGCACGTGTTGGGACATGAATTCGGGGCGTCGTCAACTGCTTGATGGATACATCGTGCATATACTTCTCAGGAAAAATAAATGCAAACACAGAAAGACTACCTGCATATATTTTCATGGTGATTTGAGTTGTTGCGGTGGATGGTGATCCCCACAAGCGGCTGACGCCCCTCAGGTCGTCCTGAGTAGCCCTGGCTCTACGTTCGCCCACCCACCCTCCTCGCCGGACATCTATAATTTTGTGTGTTCGCGCGCGAGCGCCCATGTTGGCCCGGCGGGGACATGGGAACCGGACGAGAAGAGCCAAAGTTTCATATTGATAGGGAAGATGTGTGTGATGACAGCAGCAGCAAGTTTGGAAGGGTCTGCGTACGGGCAGCAATCAACGACACTGCCTGCCAGACAACATGCGTGGGATGAGGGAGCGACAGCAGCAACAAGAACGCAATCGTCTGTGCTGCGTACACATCCAGCAAGCCCACGATTAGTAAAAAAGAAACGCGACTAACTCAGCGTATCCCACCCGTGCCCCCCTCCCGCCGTTGTTGTCCCTCCTCCCCCTCCTCCCCCTGCAGGACCCTTCCCAGCAGGCGGCCATGATGGGCCAGATTCAAACCGGCATGTACTACGGGGCCGCCGCCGGTTACGGGGCGCAGGCTCCGGGGACGCCGGTGCTCGCCCACATGAGCCACCCGCAGAATGTGGCGGCGGCCGGCGGCGGCTACCCCAGCTCCCCGGGGCACTCGGCCAGCTACGGCATGCAGCCGAACCAGCAGGTGTGCGCGCGAGGAAGCAGCGTTGGGTGTTGTATTGTATCCTTGGCTTGGAGGTGTTTGTGAGCAGTATTGTTTGCCCGCCCCCGCCCACCGATGATCTCGTTGTTGTTCTCTCTCGACTTCGCTCGTTGCTCGATTGTGTTCTGAATTTGCACCTATTATTGTGTCTTGTCGGGGCAATCGGTCAGCTTCTCTCGTTCGGCATGCGGGCCTCGGCACGTGTTGTTAATAGAAAGTAAACACAAACAATCTCACAGAGAGACTACCCGTTCGAGATATAAGCCCAGTCGAAAGGGATGCGCTGAGGTCTTTACAGTTCAATTTCGCCGTCGTGATCCTTCGCGTTTGTGTACCCGTTAAACTCACCCCGCGCCGCAACACAGTACTGTTTTAACGTCAGGTCGAAACTACTCGCTATAGCAACACAGCAGCGCTTTACATCCAGTCCGAAACTATCCGCTTTGCAACAATAAATGGTCACGGCCTCACAGCCCGAAACTACCGAGTACCGAATTGTCTTCGTGTGTCGAAACACCAATATTCTTCGGGTTTTTTCACTCCACCCTCCCCTGAGCGGTCCGGAAAATAGTCCACGCGTGAGGGCGATAGCAAACCTTCCTACCCCTCCAACCCCCCCGGTCCTCTTTACTCGTTGCTTTGTACTAGTAATTCTGTAAGATGCACGGCCACCGGGTGCGGGCCGCATGTTCGCGTTCATAGCCAGCCGTGCTTTCTTGCTTCTTGCAACCATGTTCTATATTTTTTAGGAATATGTTCATTTTTGAGAAAATGCATACCAGGCTGTACACTCAAAGAATGACTAGCCGTCCTTGCTGGCTGTACAGGCAGCATGAATCGCTCCCGACGCACTCGTACCTGGTACGTTTTTGGTCCGGCCATAGCCTCCGAGCAGACTCGTTACAGTTGCTCGTGTCTTGTTGAAGGCAACAACGAGGTCTAGACTAGACTACCGTATATGACACAAGATAACACACCCCCTGGACCGATTTCCAAAGCTCGATTACTCCACGACGAAGAGGATGCACAAACAAAACGATACATTTTCGAAAATTTCTCGACGAGACGATTCCAACGCTGCCGTTTTCGGCGCCGTGACTCTTCCTGCTGTTGAGAAATCGAGCTTTGAAAATCGGCCAAGGGGGTGTGTTATCTTGTGTCATATACGGTATGTGCTGGTTCCGTCACCTCTTCTCATGGACTCTTGTTTTTTTTTTTTTTGTGTTCCTGTTTGTTGTTTTGCTCGTTAGATGGGAGCCATCGAGATGCAGCAGGGGATGCCCAGCGGATACCCCGTCGGCGCCGGAGGAATGGTGCACAGCATGGGGGTGAGTTAGTCATACCATACGGACTTCTCCAAAAAAAAAAAAAAAAAAAAAAATGTGTACGGTAACAGGAGATAATCGTGAACGCTTTCTGGAGGAAAGGGTAGGGCGGTAGCGGGGGGGTTCTATGGACATGGCCATGACGCAATGGCAGACAAATAATTTTGTGGTATTCGGGCAAAAAAGAGCAGGGTATTGTGTTTTTCCGTACATACAGCGCGCTCGCGGAATCCCTGGAGGCGGTATGTGGGTGTAACATGGCGTTGTAGGTGAAAATTCTCTGTTGGGTGTTGAGTCTTCCCGGGAGGTTCAGATGGCTAATTTCGGTCGCCCCAATGTATCCGCGCATCTGTGTTATCTGACGCTTGGTGTACGGCGGGACTACGCTTGCAGTATGGAGTACGTACGACAGGTGTTGCGTATACCAGGAACCCGGCCGCCGCGGGCAAATACAAATAGATCACAGTCTTCGATACGGCATGGATAGATACTCGAGGGCTAACGAACCTTGCGGCTAAAGTTGACACGCCGAAGTCTTGCACCCTGTGTTCCCTCTCCCTCTCTCTCAGGTCGTCCCTGGAACACCGACACTGCAGTCCATGCAGTCCCCGTACGGTGGGTATTGGCCTTCGGGGGACGTGAGCGGCTACAGCGGCATGTCCACCGGGGTAAGGAGAGGGAGAGAGAGTCGCACAACTTGCTGGTGCTTCTTGGCGTAGTTCGCACGATATCCTTGAACGCGTTGTTGCTCACGATTTCGTTCGCGTGGTACATCAGGTTTTTTCATTACGGTGCCAAGATAATGACTGGTTGGTTGCTCTCGTGACGTGAAAGGCAGGAAGGAACACAATTAGCTATCGGTGGTCGGTCCTGTGGGAACAATGCTCCGTCCTCACGAGGACGCGTGGTCTAGCCGCTAAGGCGTGCAAAACATGCGTACACCCCCCCCCCCCCCCCCCCCCCCCCCC